CTCATGGTGTGTGCGCGCGCGTGTGTACACACACCTCTCTCTCTCTATATATACACACACACACACACACACACACACTTTGGTTAGCCTATAACAGTGGCTCTCGACCTTTTTTGTACCAAGACCCATTTATAAACATCAGTGGTCAGTCCCGACCCAGTGTCCCTCACTTTTGACCTGATGTTCCCACCCCAGGCCCCAGCCCCACAGTGTGTTGGGCAGGAAGTGGGAGGGTGTAGCGAATGGGGGGGTCCCAAGCAGCCCCTTGCGGGCTGGAACTCTGTTGACCTGCAAGGGAAAAGCCACCTGTTTTTCTCCTTTAAAGGAGAATCCATTTTTAAAGCTTGTTGATCCATTTTTTAAATTGGTTCTTGACTCTTTCTTGTGACCAACAGGTTGAGAAATTCTGGTCCATAAGGTGCAAATCTACCCTGCCTTCTAACTGATCACTGTGACAGACCCATTTTTTTTTTCAAATAACATGGCCAGCTAATTGAGTCATAACTTGGCTTTGGGCATTTCTCCCATCCCACGGAAGGCCATTAACCAATTCCAATGACACGAGCACTACATACTCTCCAACCAAGTACTAAAAACTTACCTGTAAGTTTACGCTTCAATTTCAATGTGCTAAGGCAATGAATTACTTATTACCGGAGGACGGAATTGAACACAGTCTGGATGTGGAAATGGATCTCAGTCAGGGAGAGGTTCTGAGCTAAAGGGAGGACACATGCTCTGCTGGGCTAAAGACGGAACAAACTCGACTGAACTAAAGAGAAGGAGCATGATTCTGTAGCCCAAGGGTATCTCCCGTACATTGGAAGAAGTTATAAAAGACTGTTTATGAAGAGAGACACTTATTTAAGTAGTCCTGCTTCTCACTCCCATTTCAGCTATGTTTACATAAAGGCCTTTACTCACAATCATCCAGCTTCCCCCGCACCCCACCCCATCATTACCATCTCCAATCTGCCCTGTTATATATAGCATCTCATGAAGTCTTACAAAATCCTATGCCTCCCTAAAAAAATTAGTCAAGAGCAGGGGTGGGTAATTATTTGGGTCCATGACCCACACAGGCAGTTCTGGGGAGCTACCGCAGGCTGGTCAGCACCCCAGCCCCCACCACAGCCAGAAGCCTGTGCACCCTGCGGCTCCTCCCCACCACCGCCAACAGCGCGCAGCCTCAGCTCTGACTGCGGCCCGCCCTGCACCTGCTCTGCACTCTCCCCACCCAGAGTGGAACAGCCTGAAACTGTGCACGCGGCTCCAACCCCAGCCCACCCCACACCTACCCCGGACTGTGCATCCACACCGAGCAGCGGCAGTGGCTGGGCAGAAGCTGATACGCCGCACAGGAGAAAAGCACCCCCTCCCTCTAACCACAACTGGGCCCTTCTTGCTGCAGCCGCCCGGAGCCCGTGCCGCCCTGCAGCTCCTCTCCGCCACTGTCACTGCTGCCTCCGGGCCACCCAGTGGGGCAGCAGTGGCAACGCAGAGGAGAAGTTGCAGGGCAGCCCAGCTGCAACAAAAAGAGCCCAGCAGTAGCGAAGGGGACGGGCTGCTACCCCACCACCACCACCCATGCTGAGCAGCAGCTTCTGCTCGGCCTCCGCCACTGTTTACTCTAGAGCAGGTGCGGGATGGGCCGGGTCAGGGCTGTTCATACGGGTTCCAGGTGGTCCGCTCTGCCAGGCCGAGTCTGGAGCAGACACAGGGTGGGCCAGGGTCAGGGCTGGGCACGCAGATCCCCACCGGCCTGGGGTCAGCAGTGGTGGCAGCTAGAAGGAGCTATCACTCCCTGGGCTGCATAGGGCTTCTTAGCCCCGCTGCATGTCCAGGGGCAAGTGGGACATATCACAGCACCTGGCCAAGGCAGGATCGAGGGACCTGCCGTAGGATGGACAAAATCTCTCTGCGGGCCAGATGCAGTATGGGGGCCACATTATATCCACCACCAGTCTAAAGGGTGCCACTCTGCCCTGCCTTCTGCCAAACTTAAAGAGTTTGCTGTCTTGGAATTAACTTGTCATCACAAGTTTAGCAGTGCTATTGCACTGCAGGAACAAGTAGAAAGCAAAAAGCATAAAGTAACGAGATGTTTAAACATGACTGATACATAGCCTGCATAACCAGTAAAATGTTTAACATGGAATAATGAGAGGTGCAAGATGGACAAAAGGACCTGACTGTTTTCTGTAGCATGTAAGTCCCTAATTCAGATTTATAATACATTAAATAGTCCAACACGCAGTGAGATTTTTGAGGATGGCCTCACATCCATTTTCCTCCAACCAACTTAACTGAGTAGATAGATAAATGGAAATGCTCTATTTCTATCACGATGGCTCATCAAGAAATATCACAAAGGTAATTATAATATTTTGACAGTGTTCAGACTGCCTATAATGACACCAAGGACAGTAAAACCTTGAAGCACTTTTTTTTTAAACCAGGCTAGCTCTTTACGACAACTTCCTTTTTCACAACATACTACAGAAACCTTTTCTGATTTTTTTCAAATTGTTTGGTAGACTAGCAATTTATTCACTTATTATCGTGGATTAAGTTTAAATACGTTTACTGTGCTTCTGCCTGTAACTTGATTTGAAACATTTTAATATAGACTTCTACTGTAACGTCACTAGCAGCACTGCTAAAATTCTACCTAACCTCACTTAATTTGCATCGTTCACTGGCCATATGCTTTGAATAGTTTTATATGCAAAATTTCTTCTGCTCCTAGTCCCTTCTTAGAGCAACACACCTTGCTCATACATTCTTCCTTCAATGCAATTTCTCATCTGAATAAGTTAAGGTAGAAGACCAATTCAGATACTCCAATTCTTAAAGATACCAACAAGCTGTACTGTCTCCACAACAGAGCTATTACATGCCATTCAACAAGTCATTATCTGTCACAACAGCTTCTAGAATAAAATGCATCTTTAATATCATGGGTGCATTGTTCTAACTACTAAAACTGCAGAGACCTGAGATCTGGAATAGCCTGAATATAGTATACTAGAGTCTAAAACATGGGCTCACAGTGGTCATGAAATCTTGCTCTAAGTAGCCACTCTCCGTTCCATTGCATTAAGCTCCTCTACACTGCTAAATATTAGCAGTATGTGTAACCTAAGCAAGGATGCAAGCTAGCTATTCAGCCTGTTTCTTGTAAATGTTACCAGATGAGAGGGGCAATGAAGGATTTGCTTGGGTTGCTATTTTATGAATTCTTCCTTTGGCTCCCCTATGCAGTCACACAAGACCTGGTCTTTTCAGCCCCTGGTAGATTAAATAATGAGCAAGCAGCTGGTTCTTGAATGAGGGACCAGTAAATTACTTTCCAAAAAACAACTGTTTTTGGCTTCAAAAAAGGAAGAAAAAAAATCACCACAGCCCTATTTTCTCATCACATAACCATCAGTTGTATAGTTAAAGGAAATATTACATGAAACTAGTTTTCTAACAGTCCACACACAAGTTTCGTTTCTCACATCTGACAGGATGAGATATTGGAATCTCTGTATAAAGGACCCGTTTCTCTCTTTCTGCCTCATTTATCATTTGTATTTGTCACTGCAAGCAGGACTCAAACACTAAGACTGCACACCAAAGTAGGCTTATCTTCCCATTAGAAAGATGAAAGTCTCGGCAGATTAAATCTTATCACAACACAATCAACTCTCAACTGCTATCTGATTTTGAGGCACTCGAAAACTGTATTTAAAAACATGTTAAAGGAACACGGAAGTATTACCACTTTGGTTTGTGACATTTTATTCCAATTACACCAGCTCCTTTTATCTTCCTAAGGGACAAATAACAAGATCATGAAAAAATCATCAAGATTTTTTTTAAGAAAGCATTTACATGCCCACAGATACTGCAACCTCATTTTTACCCTCAAATTTAATCAGGATCACAAAATAGAAAATCTCCAAACCATACACTTAACTCAGGTAGTGATAATACTGCTAAGCTAATAACACCAGAGAGAATACCTAAGAACAATGGTATTAGTAAAATCACAGCCATCTATATTGATAGCGTCACAAATGGACTCTATAGCCTACCAACGGTAGGATGTTAATACCAGTTCAACATCGCTGACACGTGCAGTACTGAGAACTGAGTGTAGTCTGGCCAGCAGCACTTTACCTATCATGACAGGAAAAAAAATCGCCCAGATTAAGTTTAGGGGGCATCCTGCTTAATATACCAGGAACAAGGCTGTTCCTACTAGGGCTTCCCCAATATACTTATTTCTACAAAACCACCTCCCACCGCCCTTCCTAGCCCACTGTTAATGTTTTCACCATATTACAGCAAGAATTAACACCACGCTAAAGGCCCTTTTAGAGAACATACTTTCAAACAACCCACCTCTGTTATTTGGGAATGGCAAGCAAAAGCCACAGTGAACGTGCTACTCCTGCCTTTGATGCACTAACAGGGCTCAAGCTTTTTAAGTATCTCTAGCCATAAGGATATATGGGAGTGCTTGAAATAACCATTAGGCAAACAAGTTTACTTGCCTGCCAATATAAAATAGTTCTCTACAGTATATTTTGAAATGTTTCCAATCTATTTAAATTACTCCAGCAACAAGATCATCTGACATACTCAGACAACGACCTTCAGGAATGCTCAGAACATTCCACCAACCCTCTCAACAGTGCTTGATTTGACCCAACAGGAAACACTTAAACAACTTTCCCCTCCACTTTCAGATCAATGTGACAGGAGACTCAGGGCCATTTTAATCTAAAGCAAACACATTTTGAAGATGTTAGCAGAATCTTACTGAATTAAAACCACACCTCCATAATCACAAGACAGATAATAAACAAACATTCTCTTACACCTAAAGAATGACTGGCACGTGCATAAATGCCACCCCCAACACACATCACCATGATTAAACCGTCAGTTTTACAGTAGATGGAGCCTAAAAGCCCAAGAATATAGATAAGGACTGTATTGTTACTTACAGTTCTTCAAATGCAATTCCACCAGGGCTAATCTTCCTCTACCCTCTATTTAAAATCCTGCTTCCATTATCATTTTCTCCAGCACTCTGGCATCACAAACACAGGATCAAAACATCTTCTGTATAGAAAAGCAAGGATACATTGTCCTCTACAGAATGTGAGAGAAGATCCAGATCTTCATGGAGGTACCTAATTATACCAAGGTACTGAAGGACGTACAGCCTGTCCTCAGGAACATCAGACTTGTTCTGTATTTAACCTGTATGACTTAGAGAACAAACTTCAGTCTCGATGCCTCAAGTGGGAGAACCTCTGGTATCCCCCGAACACTAAAAATCAAAAGATGACAGAGTTTTATTTGATGGAAAGAATTATTAGATAGCAACTTTTCCTTCAAAGCAAAGCAACACTCTCCAGGTTAAGTCCCTAGCCTGGGAACTAAGAATTAGGACAGAATCTTTTTGATCAGTTCAAAACTATGAACCTGACAAGGTGTAAGCTTTGCAGTTAACTCGGGCCCGGCCACCGATACTACTGTATAAATTAAGTTTTAAACCCAGTTGGAAGTAAACAGGGTCTTGACATCATCTAGCCAGCCAAGGTGGACAAAACCAAATTATGCATTTTTGAACACCAGCCCTGTGTGGCTGTGACCACTCTGCATATTTAAAGACAACTAAGCCACCACAAAGACTAAATGAGGCTGAACCCTATTTTTTCAATCTGTTTAGCCAAGGTAGCCTGTGCCCAGTGATGATGCACAGCCAAGGCGGCAGACAAGACTCTATATATACTTTACCTGTGCACATGCCATGAATTAAAAAAACAAAAACAAAACAAAACAAAAAAAAAACCAAACACAATTTTCTCAAGACTCTACTCATAGAAACTCCTTGTGAAGCTGCATTGGTCTCCTGCCTTTCTTCTAGTGCTTTCATCATGTAAAAATAGTTTCTTGTTGGGGGTCAAATACTGCGCCCTTTAGAAGCTCCTAACTTTCCTGGGAACATTTATCCTTTAGTCTATCTTCCCATGGCAATATGCCTATTAACTCCTTGT